TACTGCAATAGACGCATTTTGCTGCATTAAAGTTAACGATTAATCGATTAATTGATCGTTAATTTAAACAATGATCGATCATGGAAATTATCGAAAATTGACATCCCTAGTTCAAACATGTGATTTGTTTTATATATCAGCACAAGAACAATTATTAATAACAAATAGGTCTTAAAGGCATAGTCTGTAACTTATTTTTTCCAATAAATATCCCATGCTTGAACACCACATAACCATAAGTATGCGCCATAACCATAAGTAGCCCCTACAGACAATGTCAGCAGCAAAGGAAACAATGTATAAAAGGTACACTGTGGGAAAATTTTAGGTATATCCAAAACAGGAAGTGTTTATATAGGCTTTGATTCTTCTAAATGTTTTTTTAGGATGTAGATATGAACAAAGTTCCGGGACTTTCTGACTCTTGTGTTTCCTTCCCCTGCCCTCAGCACTTTTGTGTAGATTTACACACTAATTAAAGTGTCTGAGAGGAGATTTGCTGCAGTCTCAGACCTCATGGCTGTTTAAGTGTGCATTTTCAACAGAAGTTTACAAAACTAATGGTCAAAACTGGAAGTGGGATTCCACTGTGGCATTTCTAATAAATGTGTGTGTGTGATGATGTACATGAAAGTCATAATGAAACAGGAATAGTGACAGCTCTTTTCTTCCATATTGTGACACATCAGATTATCAAAAAAGAAAAAAAAATGTAGGCAGGGACTTGGTTGGTTCTATACTTCAGTTGTTGACTGGATGGAGTCAGAAAGGCTGAATATTAGCTTGCAGGCAATTTTAGGAATATGCTGGGGTTCAAGCAGATTAAATGATTGGATAAATTTTTACATTTTGATGTCAAATGTGAAAAAAAAAAAAATCGATACATGCACGGATGAATTGTTCACAATAATATATCAATAACATGCATCTTGAAAATAAATATGGTGAATTTACATTTCATGCCAACTTTAGAGCAGGGGAGGAGAGTGGTACGACAGAAATGTTAGCAGACGTGCGGCAGCTTGTCCAGAGATCGGAGGTCTGCAGGAAACCTGTGAGTGTTCTGAAGACAGTCAGTCATCTACACACGGCAACCAAAGAAACAGGCAGCAAACACAGCCTAGTTATGACGTCTGTGTTTTGATACTAAGGAAAGACTGGTACTGCAAAGGAGGCTCACAAAATATTTGGACAATTAGGCCACAATTATAGCCAGCATGAAATCATAATGTTATTTGCTTTCTTAATACATGTTCCTGGGGTTATTGTGCAAGATTCAACAGTGCATGTTTCGAAAGAAAAATGCAATATCATAATTTTTCATCAAAATAGCTTAGCTTATGAAACAAATTTCCTTCTAAGCACTAAGGCCACCTATGCATGTTAAATGCATCCAGAGCTACAGACTGTCTGTTAATCCTAGGCCAGCGTGAGAGAGTTTCAGTCCAGGTAATGGGCCCCTACTGGCTTGGATCACACATTATTTTCCACATACTGTACATTATTGTTTCTCCTCTATGCCCCGCCTTTCTGAAACGCGTCGATTTTTACAAAGCTCATCGTTCTGAAAAGCGGGAAGAACAGCCGGCACTGTAGTCTACTCTACCAGTATCAGGAAACAGTCCTCCATAAAATGTGGCGGATATCATCCTCTTTTGGAAGGCCAAACAAAGTAGTTTTGCTTTCACAACGAAACACACAGCGTCTTCACGACATAGCGGCGGCGGCAACAATACTACAGCGAGAATAAAAGTTACGCCTTCTTTCTTTGTGTGAACATTTGGGCGCCGTTATGCAAATCTTCCCACATCGTGACATAGACATGTGGGGGCGTGTTAGAACGAGCCGTTTTAGGTAGGCGTGGTTGACTCTTAACTTTTATAAAGAATATCTCTTTGGATTTGAGACTTTAGTCTTTGCAACTTTACAGATCTTCTTTATGCACCAAGAGCTTGCAACACTCCAAAGAGAAAGGAAAAATTGAAATCGCATCATATGACCCCTTTAAGAAAGACACTACAATG